TTGAGTGATGAGTTTTGGGTTTTGAGTCTTGAGTTTTGATGAATTTGGAATTGGAATTGGAATTGGAATTGGATGGGGATCTGAAGTGGGATTTGAACTGAGGGGAGGCATGGGGATGGTGGATGAGGATGAGCATGGCGAGAGGAGGTGTTGTTTGAATTGGGATGACCTCGGGTTTTGATTGGGATAGAGAGAGGTAGCTGGAGGATTGGATTGTGAATACTTCGTGAATTTGGAAGGGGATGGTGAAGGTGGTGGTGAGAGAGTAGTTGTTGTTGGAATGAGGTTTGGAGGAGATATCGAGAGCAGCCCTGGTGGTTGTTTGAACTGGATTTGGGTATTGGAAGTAGTATTTTGTTTGTTGTAAAGTAGGATATTGGGAGATGAGTATTGTTAGTTTTGACTTACGATGTTCAGGACGTTTGATTTTTGGATCCGAATTGGGTCATCTCTAAGTAGAGTTATGTGGAAGAATAGCAAATTCGACTTCGAAAGTTTGGCGTATGCATTTTGGATCTTTTGAGTGTTCGATGTGAAAGTTCAAGGATCGGGACGAAATATCACGGATTCAGGAGATGTCGACAAAGGAATAGAGATATAAAATGGAAGTTGTAGCAAGGAGAAAAGCGGGGTGCTTTATTATCTCGGCTATCACATCATGCAGACTAGAAGTATAAATGGTTGTTGTTTTGAGAAATGTTATGGAGCTTGGGATAGATGCTTTGCATAAGCATCTTTGTTAACGACAATGCGAATCTGCATGAGATTCTTAGTATGGATATGAAATTGAGATCTATGCGACATTTTAATTCAAAATACGAAGCAAACTAATTTGATAAACCTCAACATAGTTCCCTGCGGTATACGAAAAGCACTCAAGGATACATTTTGAGAGGCTGATTTGAATATCTCAGCTCATGACAAACAATCGACGAAAGGAGACTATGCTTCTATCGATATCTCTCTACATCTCTTCATCGGTTTGAATCTCTGTAAAAACTTCAATATAGAAGTAATACGAGCAACACTCATACAATCAAGCTGTTACGTAAAATTCTATCATATTACTTCTCTTTGACTCGGGTCACGGTATTGAGGCGGAAAGTAACACGGGAAGACGGGAGGTATTGATTTGAATTCTCGTATATTCTCACTCAAGAGCCAAGTCATCTACCTGCTGTCGCATAAATACATGTTTACCACGATTGAACATTACCTCCAAGATTTTGGCGTGAGTGCGTGACACGTGATTCTTTGGATTACCCCTCATCCGGCGCATTCCACGCATTCATCAATGTCTCACCACTTATCATGCCGCGCCCCGCGCCGCAGCAGATTCTGGATATAGGGCTGAAACAGAAATCCATTATTAGCAATTGCTAAAAAGTATCTGGGTCTCCGAAAAATATCTATTATCGGAAGATATCGTGATTGGGTTTCTTTCATCTCAGCTCCGAGCGCTCCGCAAAGTTTCAGTTGGTGATGGGTTTGCCAAGATCAAATTAGGGAGAAGATGTAGGAGGCGGGAGAGGCGAGGTAGGTGTGAGAGACACCTCATTTGGAGTGTATCTCTGGTGGAGAGATACTGATAGAATACTTGAAGTAATAAATGTGAACAGGTCTGAATTTGCTTGCTGGCGAGAGGTGAGCCAGGTAGTAGTAAGCTTACTATGGAAAATATCAACCATCAAAACAGCATTCGCGAAGTGCAATAATAATTTGTTGAGCTATAGGTGCTTATGGGTAATGCATTACTTCACGTCGTACAATAGCCCACCCCCATTGCACAAGCCTAAATCCGAATATCAAAACTGGAAACGTATTCGAGAATTGAATGATCTCGTAATATTTACACCAACCAACAGCCACGCCTCGTACATACTCTTGGTTTGTCTCAGTGGAATTCGGGTTCCATCTCAGCCATATTCAGATGAGCCTCATGCCTCAAAGTTTTCTCACCTCTTCTCATTACAAGAAAAAATGCTTCGTGTTCTAGCGATCGCCAGTGCAATATTCGGTGACAGAAGCTTATTTTAAGCCAGATTCTAAGCCTGGTTAGGCTTTTGAGCATATTCTAAGATTTTGAACATGATACAAGCGTAAATCATGCTCGGATCTAAGCCCAGTTTCGTATGCAAATGTCAAGTGATATTGTAGCTGAAAGTTCAATTGGTAAAGCTGCGTGTTGTCGGATGCCTTTGATATTTGATCTTGACGTTTGAGAGATGGGATGTGGTTAGAATTGAATAGTCTTGCTGGGGTTCAGTCTTTGATTTGGATGCCTACACGAACTGCGCGAGCTGCGTGGGTATGCTTATTTTGAGATCTGGGGAGAACAAGGTGAGTGCTTGTTTTAGTGACAGTGCCATTGCGGTGGGGACGTAGATGAGATGGTGATGTGAGACTTTGTTGGGGCGTATTTATAAGTTTATACCTATTAAGAGGTTATTTGATAACATAAATATCTGGGGAGAAGTATATATAGATGCTCAAGCTCCTCTTCCATATTCATCTTCACCATCGCAATCGATACATCTCTTCACACTACATCAAACTTGCACACCACCATCAACAAACAACAACCAGACCTTCCAGCTTAACACTCACACCACATTCTAACCCCACCCCGAGATCAAAATGTACTTCACAACTATTGCTACCCTCATTGCTTCCCTAGCTCTAACCTCCGCACTCCCTCTCTCTCCACCTCTCAACACAGCATCTCTTACCTTCCACGGTGCAGCAGGCGCTCAATACACACTATCCGTTCCACTCGATGGTTCGACTACTAGCACCAATAATGTCTTGAGCATTTCTTCTATCTCTACAGATGGCTTTGATGTGCAGAAGAACTGTAGAATCCATGCTGTGGATTACACACCCGCTTTGGTTGTAAGTTTTTGCTCTTTTTCTGATTGACTATTACCCTTCTCTCATCATAAACCACTCTCCCGTTGTCTCTATCCCACATCATATTCCTCTCATTCACTCAACAGAAGATGATGTCATGTGTATCCAAGCTTGATCACTAACTGTCTAAATAGCAAGGACCACCAAATACATGGCAGGTCGGACCACCTCAAACGATCATCGATATTTCTTGTACAAGTGGAGGTTCTTCTTCGGATCAAGTGATTAGCATTGAATTAGATGGGGCTGCGGATGCAAAATATTTCATTAGTGTACCGCTCGGTGGAGGACCAGTTTATACTAGTATGTATTACCTATCTTCTCTGGTTTTGTGCTCTTCTCTACCCCCTCAAAACTCCACAAAACCAACACACGTAGGAACAAACACTAACAACCTCTTTCCCACAGACAACGCCCTCTCCATCTCCCAAGTCCGCTCTACATACAATATCCCCAACTGTAAATTCGATACAGTCGATTACCCACCAGCATTTGTGCAAATCGCTAGTGGTGTTTGGTAAGTGATCTTGAATTTTGTACCTAGACTCATTTATCCAATCTCATAGCGCGTTTGCTGATAAAACGATTCTCTATCTTTAGGAACATGGGACCTCCACAGATTGTTAGAAGTGTTTCTTGCCCTGCATAAATACCTAGGCACCTTCATGCTCACTCGCTTGTCCGTTGATCAATAAATATCTTCGCCTTGGGGTGACGAGTGGAGGATTTGACATGGAAGGGAGCGATTTTTAAGACGAGATGAGATACAAGAATCAGGATACAACGGATCAATTTTCCTACAATTTCTTTAACGCATTAACATCGAACGGTCCTTACGGAAAACTTGGTGTTTGAACTTCAACAAAGAAGACTGAAGAAGTAATGAATGGAAAACGGAAAGGATTCACACAGCATACGCATCAACATCGGAGTTACACGCACACGAGCACACAGATATGAATATGGATGAACAGGGTACGGATTATGATGGGATAATATACACGATCTTTACAGCTTAATACTCAATTCAATACTTTAGTAGTTTTTATTTGTGACAGTTACACATAATAGCATTAGGTAGCTGAAATGATGGATACTATTTATTTTTTAACTTCTCTCTTGTGATATGATAGGTTGCAGTTCTTGTATTGTGTTTTGTTGATATACATATACTTATATACATATACATATATATGCATACTATGAACAACCAAACAAGATACAATACGAATACACGAAGATGATACGCCATACGTAGCGAGGAGAACATATAGATAGATATCTGGAATTCCACTTCTACTTCTACTTCTCCGAACAACGAGATCGCGAGTCGCATTTTCCACAGAGACATACCATATAACCTTAATAATATACGTAACAGAAAAAGAAACAAAAGGTACCTAGGTGATAATTTCCCCATCCCCATCCCCATCTCACATCTCTATCTCCCAAGAACCACCTCGAGCCGGAGAATTAACCGGAGAGTTAGTTAATTGTTCGTTTGATTTTCTATACTAATATCGTATAATTGGCTAGGTTACCCCACAAGCTATGGAACCGGAGCTTTGAGCTCAACCAATCAGTAGCGACGAGCATGGATGAGAATCCATAAGCCAGTTTAGAATCAATCATGAAATGTATTGAAGGGGAGGGATGGAGATTTAATATTTCTATATTTCTCTATCATGTTATTTTTTTTAAGAAAGATACTTGATGATAGATGCTCGAGTGTGGGGTTTGTATTATTTGATTCATGGTATGCGTGGTGATATACTAGATACGTACTTAGATTCATACCTAGCTAAAACTGGATAGATTATCATGATAAATAGATAAATAGAACCGGAACCGGAGAGTTTGTAACAATTGGTATTTACGGATAATTTCTGGTTTCTTATGGGTTCTCGAGATCGGATTGATGTTTCTGGTATTGTATTAGAAAATGTATATATGTAGCTCGAAATATCCGCTTCGGAAAATATCATTCAGGATCATTCGCAACTATATTTCCAACATCACTTCGCTTGGCTCTCTTAGTATTTATTTGAATGCCTCATCTAATATCCAATATCCTTCTCATCGCCATCAATATGACTTCATCCTCCTCCTCCTCCTCTACATCCACATCCCCACAAAAACCCTACCTTGTCCTCTCCGCCCAAAAGGAAGCTACACAACACTCCCTCATACCCCAAGAATGGCGACTTCCCACCGAAAAGTACCAAAACATGTCCAACGTGATGGAAGTCCCACTTAGCTGCGGACTCTTGAACGAGACTGAACATCACATCACTTCTGACTATGACGCCACTGCACTTCTTGGTTTGCTGAAGAATGGAGTCTTCACCGTGGAGCAAGCAATCACTGCATTTTGCAAAAGAGCGGCTATTGCTCATCAATTGGTATGAGTTTATTCGTGGCGTATTTGATGGAGATATCAAGGACATTGAGATGTCCAAGGAAGAAAGAAAGCTAACATTTTCCAAAATTAACAGACAAACTGTCTGACCGAAATATTCTTCTCCGGAGCGATCGAAAGAGCCAAGACTCTCGATCTCCTATACGCCTCCGCAAAATCAACCGGAAAACCTCTTCCTCCGCTCTTCGGTCTACCTATCTCCCTCAAAGATAGTTTCGACGTTGCCGGATATGATACTTCAACTGGACTAGGTTGTTATGTGAATTCTCCCGCCTCGGAAAATAGCTCACTAGCTACTATGCTCCTCGATTTAGGCGCAATTTTATACTGCAAAACCAATCTTCCCCAATCAATCATGACAGGAGACAGTCATAACAACATTTTCGGACGAACATTAAATCCACGGAATAAATCACTAACAGCAGGTGGAAGCACTGGGGGTGAAGGTGCGCTTCTTGCTCTGCGAGGTAGCATTTTAGGTGTTGGAACGGATATCGGTGGAAGCATTCGTGTTCCGGCGGTATGTAATGGTATCTATGGGTTTCGACCTAGTGTAGGATTGATTGCTCATGGTGGCGTGAGAGATCTTACTCCGCCTGGAACAGATGGTGTTAAGTCGACTGTCGGACCAATGGCGACTTCGCTCCGGGATTGCGAATTACTCCTCAAGTCAATACTTCAAGCGGATACCTGGAAGTATGACAGTACTGTAATTTCGATTCCATGGCTAGATGTCAAGCCAGCACACAAACTCCGAATTGGTGTTGCCCAAGATGACGGAGTCTTTACTCCATCACCCCCAGTACGACGCGTTTTCAAGCAGGTGATTGAGTCCCTCGGTGGAAACAACGACTTTGAGATAATTGCTATTAATCTACCCGACGTAACATCAATCTATCAAGACTTCATCAGCTACATGACACTATCAGGAAGCGATGTGAGTCTAGGGAATCCCCGACTAAATAGCTTTAGACATGTGAGCTGACTTTAAAAGCACTATCTAAAACAATTTGAGCGAACAGGAGAGCCAACCATCCCATCACTAGCCAAAACTGGCCTTCTATCAGTGCCAGGAACGACTCTGCAAGGCTTCTTTGAATTGAATGACCGACGGTTACAGATCGCGAAAACATATCTTAAACTATTTCGCGATAACGATCTAGACGTAATTCTCATGCCTCCTGCAGCGCATACTGCAGTTCCCTCGGACTGTTGGTCGAAAGTGGCATATACGTGCTTGTGGAATTATCTTGATTATCCAGCCATAGTGATTCCGGTAGATCAAGTGCAAGATACAGACTTGGCTGATGATTTGAACAACGCAAAGTTCGGCCCAGATGATGAACAGATTTATAAGTTGTGTAAGTATCGGTATCTCTAATTCAATATAGCCCAAGCTGACATATACTCCCAAAGATACCGGTCCTGAAGTGTACAAGGACGCACCGGTTTGTGTGCAGCTTGTAGGGTATAGACATAAGGATGAGGCTTTGCTGAAAGCGGCAGCTATATTGGACTCGATCATAAACAAGGCGTAGAGGAATGATAGATATCATAAGATTGTTCGATCGTCAGAACTGTTCGACTGACTATGAAAAATCCCTGGAGTTCAAAGTTCTGAATCTCATTGTAGGCCTGCGGTCCAGAATATTGGCAATCGTGCGCTAAATTGTCTGGTAAACGATGGGTAGCTACTCACCAGATGAACTCCTGTATCGCTCCTTGGAATGGACCTTTCTTTCCTATCATAGCCTTCTTAGCATAGTTTCTTTATCTGATTATCAATTTGCAAAGCTATTCCCACCCATAAGACAAATTTATGTGATATTTGTAACAACAGAACCTTGCAAAAAACCTTCATACGAACATTAGCTACATCCATCAACCAGTCGAACAAGTTGCAGTAAGAGCATTCAACACAGGACAAGGTTTGTGAATCGAATCAAACCACCTAGTTGTAAAGTTTGCATCTCTCTCATGCCAAACTCTCAACAAAAATGTCTTCGTAGCCTTTTGCATAAACTGAGCGAAGTCATCCACGCAATCGTCCACGCGCTCAAGCGTTTTGACACGCGAACTTTCCTCTCTAACCTCAACAGCAGCGATAGTAAATGGTAATGTTACAAAGCGCATAGATCTCTTTGTGACCAATTTTGCCACTTCAAGTTCCATCATTACTTCTTTTGACCAGATTTCCGCTTGAGAATCTTCCTGGCCAAAAGGATATCGTAATCTATGACCAACTAGGAGAGCTCCCAAGCGGTAGATTTTGGCTTGCGCGAGAAGATGAACGATTTCCGTTGAATCAAAGCGCTCAATGAGTCCATTTAACTGAGATGGCTGCCATGGCTCCACGATGCCATGTATGTCATCTAGCTGCTTTTGTAGGCGAGCCAGATCATTCGCGTCAGTTATGTTAAGGAGTGTGTTACTGATCACACATAAATCATGATAGTAGGGTAATAGAGGCAAACAGAGGCCAAGACGACAGTCAATAACAACAGAGGTTGGTACCCGTATCCTCAGTATTGGTTTTTGTCGATGCATAAGACAGTCCATAGTTTCCAACAGGATCAAAAAGCTTCCCCATGGATCATCTTGTGCATCATAAACAGTTGTCATGTACGGAGTGGTAGTATCTAGACAGTGACGACAAATGTCTGGTACTCCTACGCCGATTGCAGAAGATATTGAAAATGCAAGTAAGCCTCCAAGAGCATGGCACAGAATTGCATCTTGCGAAGATAAAACAGGCAACGAACGCAATGCGTCCATAGCCTTCAATATATAGCGAACACTGAAAGTTGTACCCACATCACCTGCGGTGTCTGTTTGAAGTTGTTTCACTGATAGAGCACATGCAAGAAAAGCATCTTTAAACGATGGAAGAGCACTTGATAGCTGAACAGAAAATAACTGCTGCTTCCCGGATCGAGAGCTTGGGTATGCAATGAATGGATCTAGATTTTCCGATTTGCTCAGAAAAAACGTCAACAACTCCTCCTCTTCTGGCTGTAAATCAGAAAGCACATTCAAAGATGGATCAATGCTAGGCTGATTCTGCGCCTGCTTTCTAGATTTCCTCGAGGCCAATCTAGTCACCGAGTCCGCATGATGTGCTCTCCTGCCCACGGGCCTCATAGGTCGTACTGTTAAACAACTCAAATCCAGCCTGTCACATCGTGCACAGTTGACGGAGACAGATGCGCGTTCGCATCGTTCTTTAAGTTTGTAGCATCTGTCACATGCGGTTCTAAATTTCGCATTCCTAGTAGCCGGTGCCTCCATAGCGTTTGGGTATGTTCTTTTCGACGCTATGTACGAAGACTGCTTCAATGAGCAGAATCGGATCTCTCTATCAAGAAGATTATAATGAAGGCGTTTAGTATTTCATCCATCAACGTATCTATTATCCGTCACTTCAAGTAGAATAGAAAAGTATCATACTCAAATGGAAAAGCAGTGATTATGAAAATTCATCTGTCTGTTGAGTTCAACATTTCTCGTGTGTTATCAGATTCATTATGTAATCAAGTCACTCCTCGACGAATCATATTGGACTTTTCCCCTCCCAGCAGCATTGCTTTCCTGAACACATACCATAAACTACCTAGATACACAGAACACTACAATTCTTATATACCAAACCTCTTCTATCCATACTATATATCAGCCAGTTCAAATAATCAATCAGCTTCACGAACATTGCCACGATAATCCAGCCTACATCAGAATCACAAAGTAAAAGTCCCGAAATAGAGAAAATCATCTACCTATTCTCATTTTATATACTTCGGTTTGGATGAGAGGTTAGAGACTTTGATTGATATGGTATATGGATATGGGATATGGAGAGAAATTAATGTCTTAGGTAAATGCATGGGTTGAATGTGGACTTCGAGAGCTGTGAAAGAAAGGGCCCGGAGGACTAAGAGGTAAGGTCATTGGGCTGCATAGTATAAGCTAACCTGGTGAAGATTCCCGAACACGATATTTCTAGTCATTTTTAAATTTTGAGACTAAAAGAAGCTGTGATATCTACGTTATGGATTGCTTTGTCAATTCCACCGCCATATAACATAGGTAGTATAAACGCAACATCAAAGAACGCGCTCAACCGCACGATTTAAACACGTTACACACAAATCAATTCGCCCCCACAACTCCCTCCCATCTCACTCTCGCAACCTCCTCGTCTCTCTTTCCCTTTCTCGGAACCAACATCCACAATCCCGAGATCGTCACCAAAAGCGCCAGAACAACTGGTTGCAACGCCTTTACCCCCTTTGCCTGGGCAAGCGCTCCCACAATAAAAGGAAATACCGCCCCTCCACTTCCTCCAAATGCAGTTGCGAACCCAATACTCCCAACATGTAACTCCTTCGGAATAAGCTTCGTAACTAATACAATAGCTGTTGGGAATAAAGGACCAAGGAACATGCCCAAGAATGCTATTGCAACTGCGGAGACGTAGAAGGAGGGGATGAGCCAGAAGAGAAGTTCAAGAGCTATGCAAATCCCAAGATAAACGAGGACAGATGTGAATTCGCCTAGCCACGCGGTCAGGAAAGCGAGACCCATGCGGCCAACTGTCATGCCGGCCCAGAAACCGGTTGAGGTGAGAGAGGAAGAAAAGGTTGTACCGGAGCGCACTTGGGTCATGAAGGTTACGATCCAACCGCCTAGTGATACTATGATGACTATTGATATTTTGATGCGTCGTGATATGTACAGAGGAAAACTTACCTTCAGCTCCTACATAACCAAAGATGAAAGCCGCGAAGATCCAAGTCAATTTGTTACTTAAAGCTTGTCGAAGTCTTCCAGTCTTAGCGTTCACATCTCGAGGATTCTCCGTTGCGTAAACATGACCTGTTTGAGCCCAGAATGCCCATGTCGAAGTAATGAGCTCGGTGGCTGCTACTGCTGTCTGTTTCTTGTCAGTCACCAGTTCTTGATGGGACGATTTCCTGAGCATAAGCAATGCTCACCATGATATAATAAAAATAATACCACTCTAACCCCGTCTTGGCCAGCATTCCCGCAGCAATCAAAGGTGCTATTGTTCCGCCAAAAGAGTAACAAGCCTGCAAGAATCCCTGCACCTGATTCGCACTAACCATGTTACCAAGCCAAGCGCACCAAGCCGCATCGACAAGTCCGTTACCCATTCCTACGAAGACATACATGACGACGAGAGCTGGATAGGGGGGATGAAGTGAAATTACTATATAGGCGATGAGATGACATAGCCCTGCGATGACAGCTACACCTCTCTGACCAAATTTCACGTGGACGGTGTCATTGATCAAGGAGGCGAATGTGTAACCTGCAAAAGGGGAAAGGAATATCAGGGAAATGACGGTGTACGATAGGCTGTAGTATTGTTCCAGCTTGATCCATTTCTCAGTAACAAAATTACTATCGGCAGGAGCACTTGTGACTTACGTATGGGATTAAAGCCTTTATCCGTTTAGTATACGATGTAGCTCGAAGTGAAAGACGGAGTGAAGACTTACACCATAAGAACCATCATTCATACCCATGAGAAAGAAACCCCAAAATGAAGCTCCCACTCGATATACATTCTTGGGAGGATAATTCCATTTCTGTAAAGCCTCTACAGCATTATTTGGTGGAGTCGTATCTTGTCTGATATCTTCTGGATCCGATTCGCTTTGTACAATTCCGGTATTGGGAACCCAAGGGGAAGAAATATTGGGAAAAGATTGAAGTTCAACTTGGGTAAGAGTTGTGGTTGCCATGATTGATGTGTTGAAGTTGCGATGGTTGTGATGAGGTAAATATGTGGAGGAGGAATGTGAAGATAGCCTTAATAAAGAGATTCACTTAATCATCAATATGCACATGAATATGATTCATGCTCACCACAACCATTAATTGTTTGCCTCTTTGCTTAACATCGCAGTAATTCTCGCAATTATATTTTCCGGGGTCCTGAGCCAACAGTTGTGGTGTGGGGGAAGTGGTTCGAGAGTGGAGTGGGTCATCGATCTGGCAAGGCAAGACCTCGAGACTCGTCGACGTTGACTAATCATTGAATATTCATGATACAGCATTTCTTAACAAATCAATAGTGAGAGCATCTGTTGAAAGAGATGGTGAAGGCAAAAAAGCTCTCTCTCACCCTCACCCATCCAAAGTGACCCAAGAATGGAGCATAAATCTAGCAATGGCTTGACTCGTCGACGGCCAATCATCGATATCATATATTTTCATTGCTTTTTATGAACTCATCATTATGCCTATCTACCAACTCCAGAACAACATTAGAAAAAGTAAAAGTGCCTTCTCCCACCCCCACTCTTCATCACAAATCTATCAACACCTTAATGCCATCCAATTACCATCACCACGGCATCCAAACAAGCATATTTTCCTTTTTGCGGTCTGACTCAGTGAGGGGGTGACGCCTCCAAATATCCCAAAGCCGTTGATAAAGGCATCCTGAAAAAATGAAGGGATTTAAGTCACACAGTGTCGCGTATCCCCTTGGCTAACCCCTGGCAAGGGATGAGCTTCCTAGTCGGAGTTGGCGGGAGCGTGGTCCGAAAAAGAGGGTTGCAAACGATACTTTGTACGAAATCACGCCTCGTAGCTTGTTGGTTCTTTTGCGTATGGCGCAAGATTGCTAGCATCTTTGAATCATAACACCCCTCCATTGGTCGGTCATGAATATGATTCTTACCCAACTTATCAACCGCGATTTGTATATTACTCCCTCATTTCCGCCCTCTCCGTCAGAGAATCAAGAGTCGAGCATACAACTCAATCATCCCTACAATGTCTTCCCATAAAAATACATTTACAGCACGCTCGATCATATTTTAATCTTTTTTCTCATCATTCATCTCATCTAATCTGATAGAGTATCACTACCTAGTTTGATCTCCCCTTCTCTCTCCTCTCTTCCCATTCATCCTTTCTTCCTGCCTAGCTGCTTGCAGAAGCTACCATACATTTTTCCCCTTCCATCAACCATTCCTCCACCAGATCATCCTCAGCAAGAAATCAAAAGAAACATGGAAATCCCCTCTCCTCAGCCCCTCGCCATACCATCGCAAAACCAGATGATATGTGATGTAATATAATATGATCCACCCTTCCCTGCTCTCGGCTACACGATCCATCCATCGAGTCATCTAATACTTATTGAAGTATCTGATATCTTCCCATTTTATCTATCATACCACCCACTTCCTCTCTCATTCAAAGCCCTTTCCCCATCTGATCCCCTTCGTCCAAAATAAAGAAAGAATCACCGAATCTCATCCGCCATCTTCACACGCAACCCTCTCCTCAAAATTAAAGTCCCTTAAGTCTGCAAAACCCTGAAAACTCAAAATGAATAAGAACTCCACTTAACGCCATGCTGCACCAATGATTCCTTCCTCAATCCCTCACTCTACCGACGTGCTTTCGCATCATCTGCAGAGAGCTGTTTCCTATGATATGTATGATACAAGTCTGACTGAATGAATTTTTGTGTTCCCCCCATCGATTTGAAAAAGAAATAAGCCTGAAAAGTCGCAGTCTAAGTGCGAGAGAAACGGAAAAAGTTGCAAGCTGGCGCTAATGCAATGAAAATAAAATAGAAGGCGACTAATTGATTTCAGCATGGCCAGCTATGCCTCCTGGCGAGATCGCTTGATGAGAAGACACGAGCAGTCAGTGATAACACCACAAAGATGAAGGATGTAACATCTGCCTGCTATGTGCCAAGTATTGTCATGTGATGACTATGTCACGAGACAAAGTTCTATTAGTCCCCTGTTGATACCATACTCTCATGGTCAAACTAGATCTGATCAACCTAAATCATCCCAACCTAATGATGGGAAATCAACGAATCACAAGTGGTCCTCTTGATTATCTACTATCATGCCATCGTCACCATCAGCATCGTCGGATGTCGAAGCTAGACGTTCTTGAAGGAAAGCTGTCATAGCAACCAAAGATGATTTGTCAGCTTGAGTTAATGGCTTTTTCTTGGAGAGCTTGGACGCATCTCCTTTTGCAATCAACTTAATAACTGGTTCATCGGCTTCGGACTAAAGGATTTCAGGTTAGATTTGTGTTACGTCATTGTGTTACGTAGATTGGAGGCGTAAAGAATAAGGACAAGAAAACTTACAATTAAGGCATCAATAAGGGTTTGTGTAAGATTGATTGTTGGATTTGCAGTGGCCAGATATGCAAGATTGAGAGCAGCTTGCTGTTCATCAAGACTACGACTGTCAAATTCGGCAGTTTGTAATCGTGGTCTCGAAACAGGTGCTCGATTGTTTGCAAAGCTGCGTTGGTTATAATGTCCAAATTCACGATGAACACTGTACAATTAATTAGTAAATTAAATATGCAATAATTGGAAAGAATCACATACCGCGAAATGAAGTCAAGTTTGATACCCTCTTCTGGAAGCTTGTACACATGACCATACTCTCTCTGCTCATAGAAACCACTACCCTGATCTTCGTCTTCAGAAGTAGTGTTCTCAACCTCGATATGACCATTATTTCTAACACCACGAGCAAGAACAGGCTTAATGAGCGAAGCTCCTTTGATCTTACGGAAACGATGAGCTGGGCCTAAAGATCCTGGTACTTGCTCGAGAAGATCATCAACATGAGCTGGACATCTCCAAGATCTTCCAGGCGGAGGCTCTTTTGCCAGTGGAGGGTTCAAACAGTCCAAATGCCATGAGAGACTACAATAAGTACAAGGAATAATTGCTCGACTCGGATGAACAGCTGAGTGGTGACAGCCATGACAGAGAATTGGATTTCCTTTGTTGTCCTTTAGCTTGAAGTAATCCGGAGCTTCATCGTAGCCACGATTATTCCTGTTGTAATGGTTAGTAAGAAGAGCCAAGATAATTACCACAAGATGTAAGCTTACTTTGGTTTTTGTACAACGCCTTCTTCATACTCTCCTTCAGTACCGGTCTTGACATTCTCGAAATATTCCCGGATTGCCTTGGGAAGATGGAAAGCGCTTGGATTCTTTCTCTCCATATTGGCCAACAAAGGCCCGAAATAGCCAACTTCTTCATCCTTAGATCGAGGAACACTTTGTGCAAGACACTCGTTACAGAACCATTCTTCCGTCGTTAAGGTTGGTGAGTCTGGTGAAAGATCCACACATTTGAAGTGGAAGGAGCGAGTACATCCATCACAACAAAGTAATTTACCGTTACCTCCACAAGCTGCACAATAATCGTCGTTTTCTCCAATAGTTCCACTAGCCTTTACACGCATTTGTTAGTTTCCTCCTTCGAGTATTTCCCTACAATAACAATAATGACGATCCAACAAATGAGATGCTTGTGAATGATGATTGTGAAGGTGGCAAAGTTTCATGTGTGGGGGCTGTTCAGGCTCGGCAATTACGGAGATGGATGTGATGTGAATAATCCACAATCCACAATGGACCATCATCAGAGTTTGCGCTATCCGCCCGGACTTGCTGCTTTTCTCTCTCTCTCTCTTCAACTTTGTCACCAAGGAAAACCCAGCCCCCCAAATATTGAGAATTGAAATACAACATAACGTAATGAAAATTCAACCATATTTCAAAATACATTGAAATATCATCAAAATCAGTACTTCATAATCATCATTTATCCAAAGATAAGGGGGATTCCATCAAATGATGAAATCTCACAATGATAATGATACAAATGATGACGATAATGACAATGATGAAGATGAAGATGAAGATTGTTAGAAGATTCAGAGTGTAGAGAAAGATTTAATAAAGGGTTAAAGGACAGCTAGCAGCTTGAATGAAGTAAAAAGCGATAACAAAAAGCGATGAAGAACTTTACAACATCGTCTAATTTATCATTTCTCACATCGTCGTCGATACTCTCCATAGATATATAGAAAAACAAAATAGCTTACTTGTTGGTTTGCATAATAACCTCCAACTGGACTATCTCTTTCACCGCTTGCTCTCGGGATACCAGCTGAAGGACCACTCTTTTTCTTCATTGGTCTGTGCGAGGGAAAAGAATTGTTAGCGAATTATTTTCATCATTTAAATAAGAAAGAAAGAAGAAAGAAAAGTTAAGTTCAATTCAAGGTGAAAGAAAGTTCCGGCTGTCACACTGTGTAACCATAAAACACGACAAGTAGATTGACAAGCACAGCAGAAGTACTTGAAACAATTTGTGGAGGGGCGAAGATAGCCGGGGATGCAGGGTACTGAATGATGATCAAAATATACAAAATCCTTCAAGAAATGTAGAAAATCGGAAATCTGACATGATACCAAAAGACATAAAATGAAATAATATATGGGAACTTACGAAGTTTTGACACGTAAACCTGTGCCATTCTTTGCCTTTCTAGACGGTCGATTAGATGAGGGTGTGCCAGCGCGTGAATTTGGTAACGATCCAGGAGGCAAGTCTGGTTGAAACCCAAGTCCTGTAGGTGAACTCATTTCTGAATCGTAATTGTTGGCAGGAGCAGTAGCAGTTTGTCTTCTACTGGCTCGATCGTTCTTAGTGCCCAGTCGAATAGTTTTGGATGGACGGCTGGAAGCTGTTGCAGACGCAGTAGGAATGGAAACAGAATCTCCATCATCAGATGCATACTCAACAGGTCTACGAAAATTTGGAGGAGTGACACTTCTTGGCTGTATATCTGGACGAACAAAGCTCTCAGTTCGTATATCCTCAGTAATACCGTTGGTAATTTCTCGCGCCTTGCGCTTCCATTTACCAACCATCTCGCTCTCTTCATAAGTAGGGCGATCAACTGCCTGTGGCTTCTTCTTTGACTTGAAAACAATTTGTGGCCTTTTAGGCACCACTGGTTTTAATATTGGTACTGATCCAACCGAAGATGATGATGAGGTACGTATTAATTCAGGTGCCATGTTTGGATTGGCCTGATTATTGTCACTATCACCACGAGAGTTTGAATTGCTAGATGTATTGTGAGATCTGGTCGGAATATTGATAGCTTGGAAGGATGGAGGCGCGGGTGACGAAGTTTTAGATTTGTTCAGACTTCGACTCTTGTTATTGGTTTTCTTTGCCGTGGATGAAAATGTGTCTGATTCGAACCTAGACAAATCTTTGGATTTGATTGGTCGTTTTTGATTAATTGACCCTCCAGCATTTGACTGGGTCTCGGTTGACACGGACGCACCAAATTTGGCGTTGGCATTGGCGTTACCCGCCCCAACAATACCCTGTCCCTTGGACTGTTCGAAACCATCCGAAGGCTTTGCTGTACCAGCATGATTATGAGCGTGGTCAAAATCCATAGGGTCATATTCATCATTATCGAGAATCTGTTCATCAACCGAAGATAATGATGATGAGCTTGAAATTGAAAGTGCTCTTGGTCGATCTGATAATTTAGGCAGTGGGGGTGACAAAACGGGAACGGAAGAAGAAGCCGACGCAACTCCGTTCTGTTGCTTCTTCACGATTCCATCCGTTCTATTTCCGATTCCAGGTCCAGTTGCACTTGCATCCAATTTTCCGTTGACGTCTTCATTTGCAGCTGCAAACCCATTTCCTTTGTGCTTTTTATTAGGATAAAGGCCATGATCTCCCTGTTTTCTTGGGGATCCAGATGTAGAGGCCGGTTTAGCATCTGATGGGCGTCTGACAGAATCAGCAATTCCTACCGTTGGAGGTTTGCTAGTAGGAGCAGATGGTGGTGGTGGTGGTGGTGGAGGTGGAGGTGGCTGAGAATATGGTGAGGTATATGTCGTCGCTTTAGCATATGGCGAAGCGTATGTAGTTCTTTTTGCCTCGAATATGGGTGCAAAATGAAACACAGGTTGGGCAGGTGGTTGTTGAACTTGACGTCGCGGTCGATGGGGTGCCGGGTCGCTACCATCTCCATTAAAATAATATTCCGCAGCCTTGTCCTTTCTGCCTTCCTTCTTTTTCAGCCCAATCAATCTGTAAAACTCCCGAATCTCTTCTTCCGTAGCCTCCTCGTAGACCTGCTTTTCAACAAGTATGCCGAAATTTTCAGGATCTTCATCGTAAAGTTCCCGTAAAGCATAGGCAGTACACCAACGGTGCTCCTCGATCGCGTGGGAGACAGCCAACTCAACAATTCTAGCCGTCTTTCTGCGAGAAGCCGCCTCGACTGCACGAGCCCGACTCTCCCTTTGACGAGCCTCGTCTCTTTCATCATATGTATAATTACTCATTTTGTGAGCATGATAGGAAGCTGTAGAAGGCGACTCGTTTGGAAGAGGTGTGCGTTGGACTGGAGAAGTTGCATAGATGCTAGGTCCTTCACTTTCGTTTCGTACGCTGGGTGGTGCGACACTCGATCTAGTAACACTTTTTCGCGCGCTTCTTGGTTGTTGCGGTGTTGATGGTGGTACGTTTTCGAGTTCTTCAGTTTTTGTAGATGTGGATCTTCTTCGCGAAACGTTCGAAATAGGTTCCGTGGTTTCCATCGCTTCTTGGGGTACGGCCTGGGGTGTCGCCGATAAAGAGGGCGGAAGTGAATCATCCATCACTTCGTTAACGCCATTTGGCCTGCTTCCATTCGCATCTGCTACCTCTGGTTTGGCAGAAGACTTAACAGCTTTTGCGCTCGGTCGCGTTCCAAGTGGTGCCATGTTTGCGACCACTCCATGCCTCTCCATTCCAGCTTCTGCAAAAGATGGCATGGGAGTAGGAATAGGAGGTTCCGTCCATTTATCCATAAACGTCCTTTTTCGACCTGTATCTGCTGCTGTAGCTGGAGAGGAATTCGGATTACGTTGTGCCGAAACAAATGGACTGGAACGACGAGAGCGTGTTGGGCGAGAATTGAGTTGGCTCATAGCTTCCTCGCTCGTCGCCTCCTGCGACCGACCCGACTCCTATCAATTGCGATCGCAGTCCCAATACAACTAATGAATTGTTAGTTAAATGATCATATACATTAAATGGATTTCATATACTTCTCTTCAGTTCGCAATCATAAAAATGTTCTCGAACGTTATTTTCAAGGGATATGTACGCGTTGAATTATCGTGGTATGATTGATTTGAGAGGGAAAGAAAGTCAAGTTCTCGCTTCGAGATGAAATCCCTTAGCTAGCGCCCCTTGAGAGCCGAAATCGTTGACTTGCTTTAAGTGCACGAAACAATAAAAGGTAAATGACGACTTGTAAATCTATTGTCCTTTTCAATAGATCATAAAACTCCTAACTACAATAGAAGAATCAATAACCGATTCTGACAGATGATAATTTCGACAAAAAACTCTCTTATTGAAGGAGATATATCCTCCTATTTGAAAGGTGATTGATCGCGTAAGTTTTTCTCGTGCCGTACTCGTATCATGTGAAGAGACACGGTACCATGAAATAATGAATGAAAAGAGGGGTAGAACACAACACGGGAGAAGAAGACATAATTTACCTTATTTGTCTGTTATTATGAGAAAGTAGTAAATAGAAACAATATGTTGAAGGAGAGCAGGAAGTAGAAAAGGTAGAGGTAGAGCAAGTGGATAAGAAGTGGAAGAAGAAGGATGAACGTGGTGAATTGAATTGAATAGCCTTCCTCTTATCGATACCAAGATGGTGATCGAGAGAGAAAAAGTCGCTTAGATCTGCTGCTGGATGGATAGGGCGGCACTCAGTGGCTGCAAACACCTTTCGTTTTAATTTCCTCCAACCGGCTTTGATGGAACCAATGGAAATGCGCAGTCGGAAGGTTGTTGAGGAGAGTTATATTTGCTTGATGATCTTGGAGACGAAGATGGGAAGCGAAAAAGGTAAAGGAACACTAGGCAGGTAATTTCTGGGCTTTGCCTTCAACCTAATGAATCCTAACCGAGTATTCCAAAAAGAAGGCACTGTACCAATTTACACGTCACATCACATAGCTGAAATCCATGGAAACACGCAATAATTGATGAATGAATTCACTTGCACCATTATTTCAATACTCCTATATTTGCTGCGTATCTCTGAATTTGAGAAGCTTCCAACTGCCGAATGTATTTTCCTATGGGATGCAGACCCGAGTTACAACATAGCATCACTCGCTCTTCCCAATGACAACAATAAATGAGGCAAGAACAGTGAAATGCTTGACAAGCTTTTATGAAGCAGTGTCGGCAGTGAGATACGTAAACATGAGAAGAGTAGATTTGCAAAGTAATTCATGAAACACATCATTTGTCAACTTTCAATTGATTCAATTGCCATCTCCGTCCCATCACGTGCCTGTTCCTGAACGACCTATTTACTCTGTTGCAGCAGGCTTCTTAGCAGCCTTCTTCTTCTTATCCTTAGCCAAAGGTTGCTCCAAAATCTTGAGGATCTCTTCGTCGGTGATCTTCTTATCAGTCTTGAACTTGCTAAGATCTGGCTCGGGTGGCGAGGCAATCTTTTGTAAGCCGTTTTTGGTAATTGCTGAACATGTTAGTCAAATGTTTCAAAGATAGATGATTCATCAGCTGCTTACCAATTGTAGTCAATAATCTTCCTACTGCCTCGTTGTCCTTGTCTCCGACGACTTCGTATTGTCTGAAAACGTTTCCACGTACACACTCAACAACACCGACCTTAGCATCTCGCTCGGATTCCAGTTGTCTTAAACTGAATGGGAAGGTACCAAACTTCTTCACAACCTCATTCATAATCGCTCTGGAACTTGGTCGCTTCAAGGCGTATGTAAGGTTGGTACGACGATGAAGAGTGGTTCTGTTCTCGAAGTTCTTAATCTTTCCAGAACCAAGAGAAACACCCATCTCGACACCCCAAACCTCGCCAACTTCTGGGACACCATCACCTCTTGTACCATCTCCTGGAGCAAGGATGATCTTCTTCTTTCCTTCAATTTCATTGCGCTCGAATTGCCAAGAGGTAGTGTGCTCGACCAAGTTGCAGTCGTAACTCTTAACCAATTTCTCGAGTAAGCTGGTAATCTTAGCTTGAGTAGGAGCTTTAATAGTTGTTGCCTTCTTTTGCTCCTCCTCTGTGCCAGCTGGGACCAATCCAGGAGGAACCATTAAACGTAACAGAAGCTCGTTTGCATAGTGTGTCGCCAACAACAGATCTGCATCTCTTCCACTGATCTCTCCATTTGCGTTGTCGGCAGAAGGAATGACAATGGTATCACAGGCAATTGTTCCAAACCCATCGATTTGTGCACCGAGTTGAATCTTGATAGCTTCGCCTTCTTTGAGAACAACATTTGCTTCGGCTTCGTCCGTTGTAAGAGGGGTATAAGGTGTTACGAAAGCTGAAGGAGAAACAGTGGTTGGGTGGGCAATACCTTGTTGCTTGTTAGTTAAATTAGTATGATTAATAGAGAAACATTCTTACCCTTGACCATCTTCTTTCCTCGGTAGACCTTTGCGATCTCTTCCTCGAGGAGCTTGTCACCCTTCTGGCAAATTGTCACAATTTTCTCGCCAGCCACACACAAGGCAGTAACATCCTTCAAAACCTTTTGGGAGATAGTAGCAGCATTCTTGTATTTGGTGAGAGTATCGGGGTTGTTGAGAGAGTAATCTAGCAATAGTTGATATTGTTAGTCAATTGATGCCTTGAGTTGTTTTCAAGCTGGGTGTGCAGATTCTTGTACATCTTTCGAGTCGCATTGGCGGGGTCCAGTTTGCTGACCACCAACTCACCAACAACAACAAAGTAAAGATGAGGTTGATGATGTAGAAGGAAAAAAAAGATAACTTACCAATCTCTTGGGTTTCTTCCTTTTTATCGGCCATAATTGCGATGTTCTTATGATATGGATGAAAGGTGTAAATGGGTGGTATTGAGATTTATTGTTGTTGTAAAGTTTGGAAGAGCAAAAACAATGTTTTCTTATTTTCCCCTCACAAGTTATTAAAGTCCAAGGTAGAGAGAGGATCCAGGTACTTTAACGCTTGGAAGGATTAAGGATTGTGTGGGCTTTGTTTCGCTTGGTGACCTCACCGAGCTTCATCTCTATATGGATATGCCTGTGCCTGTGCCTTTTTGCTTCGAGCTTCCGTTCTGGACTGCATTACGCAGGAGCTCAGGGATTGGGTTATGTATGAGAAATTCATTGTAAGGTCATGACCGGTAGTATTGCAATTATTTTCATCACATATACCTGAATACTTGGTGTACTTGGTGATGATTGAATAATGTGTGAATTTTTACGGTTCAAATACATTGAAAGAATGTTCTGTTACTACCACCACCACTACTACTTACTACTACTACTACTACTACTACTACTACTACTACTACTACTACTACTACTACTACTACTAGCTGTTCAACCACACCATCCATGGATTTGTTCGGTAGGCAGCGGCCCGCATAGAAGTGTCCTACTAGAGCTTGTGCCTATCTAGTATTGGATCGCCATTCCATTGTTGTTTGCCTACCTAGGTACCTTATTAGTAGACACTTTTTCCAATTAGTCTGCCTCCACGGCAGTGGCTCCCAGAGGGCCAGCGGAGCGACATTTAAACTACTAAGGTGGCTTAGGTTTTGCCTGTCATTATAATGAATACAGGTTCCAAAAGCTCTCGTTTTCTCGTTGCGTTTGAGAGTTTGATTGACATAGGTATATATCTATACTCGAGTATCTATCAAATCTGTGTCTTTGGGTAACCTGAAGGAATGAATGTCTAGTACCTGGGCACATCATCTACCCAGGCACGTGCCAGGTAGTATTCCGCTCAAGATCAGCCCCGTGATGACTAATCACGCTCAATACTTGAACATTCTTCGCAGTCAACCGTAGAAGCTTACTATGGAGTACTTTATCGGCCAACATCACAATCAATCAACCACCTCCACTGCATCACTAATAAACTTACGCCTCACGCCTCACGCCTCACGCCTCGTGTATTACCTAGCCTGTGTACATATTATCCTGTCGCGAGTTCAAAGGTTCGCGATTATGAGATTCATAATTGTGTATTATTGATAATTAAATCCACCTTCCACTAACCACATTCTTTCTTTCATCTTCGCATATTCGTCGCATATTTGTGGCGAATGTTTTCGCTATGACACCCGATATCCAGCAGACTTCTCAAGATGATTCTTCCTCAGCTAATGCTAATGCAACTGCGCCTTCTGAGTCTGTGAATCCCACTTCTTCCCAGTCTTCCACTTTAACTCATCGACCTCGAACGAAATCGGATTTCGATAAGCTATTACTTGAACAATACTTACATCACACTTTAATTCATTCCGCTGCCATTGTCGATGACCAGGACAAACGGAAGGCCTATTATCTCCACAAACATCACGAAGCGCAAGATTACGAACTGGTCAAAAACCACAAAGATGTCTTTACAGCAAGTCGATTATATGGGACAGGTTACAATGGATATGGGAATGGATTCACAGATGGACCAACAAGAATATTATATTCGCATGCGAAATTCGCAAAGAGGAAAGCAAAGCCATTGCGAATTAAGCGCAAAGATATGGCCATGCAGGCTGATCAAGTAGAAGAGTTGGTTCCCATAAGGTTGGATGTGGATTGGGACAAGGTCAAACTTCGAGATACTTTTACTTGGAACTTGCATGATCGAACGGTTACCACAGAGCTGTTCGCGAAGCAACTTATAGCGGACTTTGGTCTGATTACTCCCGTAGCAGAACCAGTGCTACAGCAAGTTCAACAACAAATGCATGATCAAATCGTCGACTTCAACCCCTTGGTTTACTTTCCGGAAGACCCCCTGGATGAAATGTTACCATATACGGCATACAAGAATGATGAGCTGCGCATCCTCATCAAGCTCAACATCACTATTGGACCACACACATTAGAAGACAAATTTGAATGGGATATTAATAATCCTTTGAATTCACCAGAAGAGTTTGCGCAAAGTATGGCCAAAGATTTGTCCCTGTCTGGGGAGTTCACTACAGCAATCGCACATTGTATACGTGAACAAAGTCAATTGTTCATACGGAGTTTGTACGGTGTTGGGCATCCATTTGATGGCAGGCCAGTAGAAGATGCCGATTTAGTTGCAGCATTCTTACCTTCACCTCTACCCTCAGTATTACGGCCACATCAACAAATCAAAGAATTTGCGCCATATCTGTATGAAGTGACGGAAGCAGATTTAGAGAAGCACGATTTAGTATTTTCACGAGAACAACGAAGGCAGAAGAGATCAGTGAATAGGCGAGGAGGACCAGTTTTACCAGATCTAAAGGACAGGCAAAGGACAGTGAGAACCTTGGTTGTTTCTTCTGTATTACCTGGAGCAGCAGCAACGGTTGAAGAGAGTCGATTATACAAACGAGTAGGGGTACCATCAGGAAGAGGAAGGCGTGCTGGTTTCGGTCGACAAGATGGTGCAGACTTGTCAGAATCGGACGATAGTGAAGATTCTAATCCTGAATCACCGGCTATCCAAGTAACTCAAGGTACCGCAAGGACGAGAAATATGCGTGGAGCAGCTACAGCAGCTCAACAAAGAATGGCCAACATTGGAAGATCAGAAACTCCAGAATCCATGCTAGCACACCATCATGAAACTAGGACGTCGGGGAGGAAATCTGGCCGTGATGCTCGCGAGGATACTGTGGATACTCCTTCACTCATAGTGAAATTGAAAATTTCGAAAGAGAAATTCAAGAAACTCGTCAAAGACATGGGCAAAGGTCGTTCGAGTCATCAACAAACTCCTTCTGTAACTCGCGCAACATCAACCTTTGGTACTCCTGCTCCACCCGGATCTATGGGTCCACCTTCCACACCCGGAGTTCAACCAGCTCAACCATTGGCAACAACACCAGCACCAGCTCCTACTCCACAACCAGTAAATGCAGTGGCGGTAGGCCAGATAGGTAGAATTGATGCGCCACCTCCTATACCTGGTCAGGCTCCCCCAGCTGTAAGTTCATATCTCTTGATACGTTTTAGCTCATGATTCTACTTCACATGCTTTATCCCATCACCGTCTCATCCTCCCTATCCCCAAATTATTCCAAACCCCGACTAACACTTCTCATCAGCCCCCTCCACCCCCCTCCTGGCTAGCAACCGGCCTAACAGCCCTCCATCAACAATACCCCAACGATCGTTTCGAAGGTATGATGCGCTACTCGGCTGTTTCCATCGCAACCGAAACACCAGTTCCAGCTCCAGCTCCAGGCACAAATCCTGAAGGTATCAAATGGATGTATCTTCCCAGAATTAGATGTCATGATTGTCCAGGAAAGCTGTATACCCCAGGTCCAGATACAACGGTAGGGAATTTTGAAGTGCATCTAAAGAATAAGGGACATAGGGAAAAAGTAAACTTGAGAGTTGGGGCACAAGTCACGGGTTAAGAGTTTGAGGGAGTTGTGGAAGTTGGAGGCAGAGGGTTTTTAACTGGGAATGACATAGGAAGGATTGGAATGCAATGGAATGGAATAAGCAGGCGAAAAACTCCAAATGTCTATATGAATAGAGACATTGTATTATAGAATAGGATAGCGTGGTGCTTACTTACTTATTTAGTTACTGGCTCAATTTATAACGGAAATAAATAGCGTTTATTAGACTCGCACATAAATACACAGAGATGTACACACACACACACACACAGAGAGAGAGAGAGAGAGAGAGAGAGAGAGACGCAGTAGTTGATTTAAGTAATATGATTTGATGTGATATATAGATAATATACTGATTCAAATCATCCCATCTCATATCATGACAACCAAACATAAACCGCACACAAACTTACCCATCTCCCCATCTACTAAATCCACACCCATCCATCCCACCACATCCCAATCAACCATTCAATTAATCCATCCAAGCAAACCTCAAGTCCGTCTTATGCCCGCTAGGTATGCATAGTTAACAATGAACAATTAAATTAGACTTTCGACATTCAACAAGACAGACAGACAGCTATCGATACGAGATACGAGATACGCGATACGAGCAAAGAAGGAAAAAAAATTATCGGCCGAAAGCGGTCGGATGAGATGCCATGTGTTGATGCGTGCGATGATGCGATGCGGTTCGAGTGGATTCGCGTATTCGTAAGCTGCTGGGTTATTCGATATTCGATATGAGATATGAGATGTCGATGTGAGATGTGATATGTGGATCTTTGTATGCGAGTGCGAATGCGAAGGAGGGGAGGGGAAGGGAAGCAAGCGTACATAGATGGATAGGTGCGCATGGCAAACAGCAATGATGTAGATGGAGCAGGAGGAAGGAGGAAGGAAACTCAAAGGGCATGCACGCATGGGAAATTGGGGGGTTCGTGGTAGGAGGGTAGGGTAGGGATGGGATGGGATGGTGTGGAGGAGCGGCGGAGGTGATTTGAAGGGGGGTTCAAGGTTTGGAATTTGTAAGGGGGATTTGTAAGGGGGTGGGGAGGTAGGTTTACTGCGTGGAGGGTTGGATATGTGTGTATGTGTGGATAGATGAAGAGATGGATGAAGAGATGAATGGAGGGGTATATAAGGGATGGTGTGTTCTGCTTTTTGGATTGATTATTTCGTCTTCACTTGCAATTCAGTGATCGCTTCTGTCTTTGACATTATATTACGTTATTAACTTTTACACTACACTTTCTACTCAAACCCCAAACCCCCCTCCAAAAAAAAACAGAAAAATGGCACCCACCATCCTCGTCATCGGCGCAACCGGCAACACCGGTGTCCCACTCATCAAGCACCTCTCCGCCCACCTCCCACCCACCCACCGCATCCTCGCCCTAACCCGCTCCTCCAGCTTGCCTCTCTCCCTTCCGTCCAGGTCCTCGAGTATGCCTACACCGAAATCACCACTTCCTGGCTCATCGAGCACGAAGTACAAAAAGCCTTCGTCGCCACGCACACCGAACCCACGCATTTCTCAGAAGAATCGCAATTTCTGCTCGTGGCCCGCAACGCCGGCGTCAAATATATTGTGCGTATTAGTACCACCGCCGCGAATATTCACGCAGATACATTGCCCTATTACGCACGCAATCACTGGGCCATCGAGACTCTTCTTGCTACGCCTGAGTTTTTGGGATTGAAATGGACGAGTCTGCAGCCTAATTCCTTCGCGCATATGTTTCTCTATACCGCGGTGGCTTTCGTCCGCGAATACCGCGCCACGGGTACGGTGCCTGAGACTCTGGCCATGGTCGCTGACGAGAACGCGAAGGTGGGGCTTATCGATCCAGCTGATGTTGGTGTCTTTGCCTCAAAATTGCTCCTTTGTTCCGATTCGGAAGTGGAGAAACATAGTGGCAAGAAATACGTGCTTAATGGTCCTACAGACATTACCGGCCGGGAAACCGTAGACTTGGTGGAAAAATATCTGGATGGGAAGAAAGTGAAAGAGGTGAAGTATAGAGATCGAGAAATAATGGACACGATAATTGCGCAATCGCCATATTCGAAAACTCTGCTTAGAAGTTTGAGACATGAGACGGAGGTGTACTGGAATGAGAAGTGCACTGCTGCGACGACTAGCAAGGAGGTCTTGGAATTTGCTGCGCCCAAGGTGACACCATAAGAGGTATTCGAGAGATTGTTGGAGCAGTAGGCGGATGTAGATGAAGATGAATGCTCTTGGTAAAGTGGAGGGGGAAGTGTCAGGTGTTGATGAGTAAGGAAGCACAAAAATTGATCGTTCCGAAACGTACAATTTAGGATATTCTAGAAAGTATTTCGTAGAATAGAAACGCATTTATATCTACCTTCTTTTCATTTCCTCTTATCTAGGTGAGAAATGGATGGAAGTAAGTTTCAATATTTCCCGTTTTTCGCTTTTTTAAACTTGTCATACTTACTTCTGTACTTCCTTTTTGATGCATGTATCCTCCCGGTTTATATGTATCACTCCTTGAATCAATATCCAAGAAGGATCATTGAAATCCCGATGATCAAAAAGCTAGAAGCATAGAAATAGAAATAGAAATAGAAATAGAAATAGAAATAGAAATAGAAATAGAAATAGAAATAGAAATAGAAATAGAAATAGAAATAGAAATAGAAATAGAAATAGAAATAGTCTAAAATTTGAGAATGATAAATACAAGATTAAGAAGTATGCAGCACGGGCACTAGATAGATAATATAACTAAAGCAAATATTCACACTTGTGTATCTAAAAATACAGTCGAAATGAAAAGCGATCTGCCTGAACCATGATTAGACGATGATCGTATGGCACCCTATTGGTCACACCACTCATAATTTAAGCCCCTTTCTTGCTTCTACACTCAGAAAGATCCTGATATAAACTCATATTCCATTCTGGGTATTCTCTTCATCTATCCCTAGTTCCCCTAACTCAAATCTCAGATCCTTTCGTCTGTCTGTTATTGCAAGAAACACCCCATCCAATCCCATTCCACCCTATCCATATTTGATATATTCCACCCATGATCGACATCCCCAATCCAATACACTCCCAACCAGCCATAAACACACTCCTAAAACGCCTTGCATGAATCTTCCATCTTCTATCTGAACTAAATCAGACCATGATAACCAACTTGTGTCCTTGAGTATCTATGATTGGATGAATAGTGAACATCCCATGCTTAATCCATTCCATCACCCTCCAGTCCCAAGATAACGCCATACTTCCATGTACTGATGTGTCCATAAATCAAAATACCCCTCATTCCCATAAAATACCGCTGGAAAGAGATTCAAGCTAGCCCATTCCTGTACGCCCTACCCAAGAAGTGTCTAGAACCAGGATCTAGAGAACCGAATCGATTTCCGAATTACAAGTGAAAGAAGCTCTGAATCGAAGGGATCGAATGTTCGTAAGTAACTGACCGGAATAGTGGGTGTGAATTTTCCAATCGGACTGAAACAAGTAAAAGACCAAACCAAGTGTCCGAGAGAATATGAAGTCAAAAATCACAAATCCTGTAAAGCAAACTCAAACTCGCGCAGCCATACTTTGTTTTCTCTGCGGAGCACTCTGCAACGAAAATCCACTCGATCTTCTACCCGGCAAGCCCATGTCCCCATTTCCATTTTCATTCGTACCATCTCCCATTCCCCCCATTATCTCATCTCCTAGAGCGTTCTCTCCGTTCTCCATCGCCGGCGTCGCTTTCTGGACTACCTTACATATATTCAATGTAAATCCATTTGTAGCATTGTGTAATTGTTCCCATAGTCTCTCATCTCTGTATCGATACTGGATTGGATATTGTATAAGTGGTGGGACTAAAGGTTGTGGATTCCAATTTGCGAGACCAGATTGAACGGCGAGAAGTTCTTCGTCAGAGTCGATAGGGCCATTAAGAAGTTCTTCGTCTTCAAGAGGGGCATTGGCGTCAATTGCTGCTTCTGTTTTTGTGATTAAGTTAGAAGTCGATCTTTGAAATTGGGAAAGAGTGTGATTAGGATTGGGAGAAGGAAGGAAGGAAGGAAGGAAGGAAGGAAGGAAGGAAACAGAGAATATCATACTTTGTTGTTTGGCTTGGTTTTTCTTCTGGTACTGCGAAAGAAGCATATCGTAAGGTAAGGTACGACCAGGAACAGCTCTTTTGGCTCCCATAGAATGTGATTTGCAGGTTAAGGAGCGGGCGCAAGGAACACCATCTTTCAGGACTCCACATTGGCGTTCTACATCGACTGGACCTTGAGAAAGAGTTAATTTGTTAGCTAAAAGTGTTTTTTGATATAATCTTGTGGATCGTCTGGTCTCCATAATTGAGATAATTGGGTATTTCGATAAGAATGAAGGAAAAGATTCAAATGCAAAGTAAACATCTTCAAAAGTCGGAGAAGAACTCTTGAGACGAATAGTGAAACCCGCATAGAGTGACACTCAGATGGTCCCCCCTTTGGACGCTTCCACTACCTGCCTCCGCCGCCTCCCCCATTACCCCGCCAAAATATGAAATAAAAGCGATTATAGTTTCAGAGATAAAAAATGCATACCTTTTGGTTTCGGAGCCTTTGGCTTTGGCTCTTCCTTTTTCTTCTTCTGTTTTGGGCCCTTTTCGCCCTCGCCATCTGCCTTTCTCTTCTTCCCCTTCGCATCCCCATTATTTTTACCCGCGCTCTTCTTCGAACTCTTAAAGCCACCTGGGCCTTTCTCCTCCTCATCGTCATCATCATCACTCCCCATTTTCGTATCTCCATCTCCATCGACATCTTTATTTGCCAACTTCTTTTTGACCTTATCCCTAGCTTCTTTCGCTTCCTTCTTCTTCAACAGTTTGACTCTCTTCGCATTCAAACATGCTTTTACATGCGACACTGTTGCGGTCTTCAATACACTCTTCTTGCAATGCTTACAAACTTGTAAATCGGGATCATCTTCCAGAGGTCTGCCGGTAGCAAATGTTTCAAGCGCGGCATCATCCAACATATTAACTACAGGACCAGGACTTGGAATCGAATTCGCGCTTGGTGTATCAATTCCTTTCTTCTTCTCGTCGACTATTGTAGCCTGATTAGCCCCTCCTCATGAGTCGTGTTGTAGAATTGTGTTGGGAGTGTTACCATCGATAATACTTCCTTCTCTCCAATTGCCCGGCTTATTGTGCTTCGGAGGTTGTTTCTTTAATTTGATATTTCCTAACAACTTATCGCCTCCTCGTTCTCTCTTGGGCGCGACTTTGATGGTTGAATCATCGTCGCTCGCGACGGAAACTGTTGATTTGATTAATATATTAAATTTCGACTGATGGAGAAGACGGAATTTACCTCTCCTGCTAGCCATATCGTCGCGAAACGTTGAGGAATCCTGTTGCAGGAGATGTTATGATGGTAGTTATTTCTTTGTAATTGGTGTGATGTTGGAGTCTGGACAAGGCTGAGATAACCTTACTGGCCCACTGACTGGGGTTAATCTTGACTCCTCGATTCGGCAAATTTCCGGCAAATCCTTCCTGTAGCCTGATCTGATCTGGCCTGGTTTTTGGCCTGTGATGTGTGTGGAGTTGTGGGGGAATTTAATAAGGTTGTCCTTGAAAAGAATTGTTCATATCTTTTTGCTGTCTCTTATCTGATGGTTCCAGAGGAAAAATTGTCGACTTCAAAATGTGGTGAAGGAAGCCATTTGGTAGGAGAGAGACTGTAGAGCCTCAACATATATCTCATCTAGCTTTAAGAGTAAGACTCTTGCATCGATGAATGTAACTAACGACTTGCAACAAAACTTCCTTTCATAGAAAAATTACTTTCCTGTTTGGAACGCTGTACATCCTAACATGTTTTCATGGTGTGCCTGGTGGCTATGCGTCCATTTGTCTTGAAAATTTCTACACTTGCAATCAGCTGAGAAATCTGTATCATATGCATATGCATATGACTTATGAAATTGCATATTATTGATTCTTTGTGGTATATCTATTTAGTGAAATTTACTTCTTCCAAACTGGATATCCGCTACATATACTCATATCTATTTTCTGCCCCTACATCTAGGTACACCTCCCAGATATCCAAAACATAATACAGCAACCACAGCACACATGCCGGCCACCACTGCATTCATGTTCCCGTACCCAATTCCCTCTCTCAGACTCCCCGCCATCACGGGTCCAACAGTAAATCCCGCACTGAAAACCATACTATTCAGCGCATACAATTGTGCGTATGGTCCTTCCTCCCCAAACAACTCTGGATTGGCATTGTGATATTTCTCCGCAACGTAAGATGCTTCCACAATACTCGGTGCTCCAATCAACGCCATCCCAAATCCACATAGTGATAAGAGGGCACAGTAAAGGACTAAATCATGCGTGGTATTTGAAACTGGAAGACGAAGGAGGATCAGAGGTAGGATAAAAAATGTATATCCAATTGTTCCAATGATTTTAGGCCCGTATCTGTCAACTCCAATTCCAGCTAACGGACCGAAGATGAGAGAGGTGAGAACAATGGGGGTAAAAAGTAGTCCAGTTTGTAAAGCTGTGAATCCAAAGAGCGATTGTGATTGTGTGGGAATAGTGGCGTCGAAAACTGCAAGAATGGTAGCTTGCATGAAAGCTACTAGTTCTGCTGTAAGGAGCCGGGGAGAAGAGAGAAGATAAAGGACTGGGAACTTTTTGACGAAGTTTGGGAGTTCATTTCGGATTTTCCAAGAGGCAAGATCTGAATCTTTTCCGTTGCCAAGCAATGGCGCCTCTTCTCCATTTCCATTTCCACTCTCACTCGTCCCTCCCTGTTCATTTCCGTCCAGTCCCTCCCCAACACCCCACTTCCTCGCAACCTTCTTCTCAATAACTGCCACTCTCATCCCAAAATCCACCCCTAGGAGCGCAATTCCCATACCAAAAACTGCATTACTTCCCACCTTGTCGTAGACCACTCCTCCCAACACCGGCGCCACTAGTTCCCCCGTACTAATGAAACTGAAAATGGTTCCAATTGTAACTCCCAATTTCTCACTTCCAACCGTATCCATCACGAGCGCCAATCCGATTGTCCAAACTGTTGCTCCTGAGATACCCTGGAAGATTCTCGCGATTATCAAGACCTCTATACTCGTTCCTAGCATTAGGAGCACCGTACTCGCTAATAGAGCTACTAAGCCTACTAGGAATGGAAGTTGACGAGAAGATAAACGATCGGCGATATAACCAGCCGGAAATGAAAATAATACGGATGCTCCTGCATAACAGGCAAGGAGGACAGAAGTGTAATATTGAATTTCCGATTGTTCAACTCCTATTCGATCAGAAAGGATGAAGGGTAAGATGGGCACGATGAGTCCATATAAAAACAAATCGGTAAACATGCCAACGGCTACCGTGGAGAGAATGAAGAAGGTATTAGAACGGGCTTCCAATGCCCATGGACGTTTTGATGATGAGGATGCCATCGAGGCTATTGATGCCATGACTGGCGATTTCGAATCGTGGAGATATCAATCTGTGGCGGGATCAATCTGAACTATGATAAATATATTGAGTTTAATCAAGGTTGAGGATTATGATGTCTGAAAAATATATGAAAGAAAAAAATGAAGATTCACATAAGACTTTGTTGTGTCATGTCGTCATGTGCAAATCTTTTGCCTGGAGTACTCGAGTGCTTCCAAAGATTTTTCTCTTCCAATGAATTTTTTTCTGTGGGTAGACCCGAAATTAAAAGCTAGTGTGTGGTGTAAGTCGGAACCAATTTCGGAATTGACATCCTACCGGGAAAGATAGAAGATGAAGACGTAATATAAAAATATCGCAATGAACCCAATTGATATGTTATGAGAAGTTTAAGTTTGGGTTTGTCAAGCTTATATTATTTGCTTTGTTGGTTGGTTTTACGACAGTAGTATGATAACCTTATCCGAGCTACTCGAGTATACATCCAGGGGTATTTTCATAGATGAAGCTGCCTAGGTAACTAGGTACTATATAGATTTACTTGGTAGGAAGCGCGATAGACCTCCACCATGCGCGCGGTAAGATTGATGATTCAAGCACATGGAACAAGAGTAAAGTAAAGTACAAGTAAATCTTATAGAATATATTCTATATAACCCCGTTGATATCTGCTGTTCCTCTCTCGTCTTTTTGCTTAAACATTTTCATACATCACAGCTGTAAAACAAATGAACTCACAAAGTAAACTCCTCCACTCCACTTCCTAACCCCTTTTCGCTTCATAGGTATTCTTCTCAGGTATCCATCACCCAATCCATTCCCCTTTTCACCCCTAGAAAATAAAAATCATAATATAAATACAGAAAAAGCCTCTGATTCGTATGAAACCAGAAGACTCCCAATTCAATCCAACCTCAACGTAGAAACAAAGTCCACAATATCCATCCCTCCCCTTCTGATAAGTAATGAAATCCACGAATGAAAACCCACTTGATTATTTGGCTTTAGACCAACTTTCCTCTTCATTAAATATAACTAACCTTGACTCCCATCCCTATTGTTTTCTTGACCCTGCCCAGTCCTTCACTCATCATCGTCCTGATTCTTTCCCGAACTTCCCTCCTTCCAAACACAACTGCTATCCCAGCTACGAAAGCGACCATTCTTAACATGGCCATCGGATTCTTTAAATTAAAATTTCCTCCCATGTTCTGGAGTACCAATGTCAAATTACGCATTATGATTCCCACCTTTTCTATTATAGTTTTCTGTTTTGTTTCTTCTACCGATTTTCGAGGATGTGGTTTAGTGGTCGAAGATTTTGAAGATTTGGAATGTCGAGGGTTGTTAGGCGACGAAGATGATGTTACGGATCCGTTAGCCATTACTGGAGCTTCATCTTCAATCCCGTAGTCGACTTCTGATGTCCCTCCTACGCTCGCTCTGGATTTCTTGTCCATTTCTTCTCGTCTCCTTTCCTCTTCTTCTCTTCGACGTCGGCTTTCCTCTATATCCCTCTTGAGTTGTTCTTCTCGATATTCCTTTTCCATTCTCTCTCTCCTCTCCCCTTCCTCACTTTCTTCCTTAAGGCTTCGTAATGCCCCAAGGAAAGCCTCTCTTCTTTCGTCGTCCAAAACTTCACTAATCGTGATGAATTCTTTCGCATAATCCCACTCATTATTCCGAAGTAAGACATGTAGGGTATAGAGTTCTAGAATCTTTACACGGGCATTTAAGTCTCGTGGTGTATCTGTTCCGGGTTGGGAACGACGTTTGGAACCTGGGAATGGATTTGAGGCCGTGGGTGTAGAGGATTGGGACATAGAGAGGGACGGTGTATTTGATGTTGCGAGATATGTTTCAAGACGAGTCTGGTTCACCTTTTGGGTGCGAGCATGAGCCAAGAGAAGAGTTGCTCTGTTTTATTGTTAGTTTCTTCCCTTATAGTGGAGATATCTGGGGATTGGGAGTGTGCGGGGAACACGAACAAGTTTATGACGACGTCTGAATCTACATCCCCTTCAATTCCATGATATCCGTTTTTGACAACCTCCTCCCAAACTTCTCCGTCCCTAACCTTGGCGACTAGTGCTCTGAATTGACTTGTTCCGAATGCTTGTTTTCCTTCGGCAGGGTCCAATTCCAGAATCGCATTCAATATTGTAAGGTATAAACTCCAGACTTTGATACGAGTCGTGCGGGAAGCTTTTGATATTGAGGCCAAGGATTTTGCAGGGTCATCGGGATTGGCGTTCTCGGTATCGGAGGGAGAGGATGGTGTAATTACTGGTAGAATGGTAGAGAGCGATTCAGGTAGACGACGCGTTAAAAAGAGCGTTGAGGCTTGACGATATGTTTTCGATATTTGAGATGTATGGCGAGATGAAGAAAGGGAATTGGAAAGGGATGAATGGGACGATGTAATTATATGTGATGAAGATAGCGGATCTGACGGATTGATCGCCGTAATAGATCCATGAGAAGCCATGACTGCCGAAAGGTTGTAGAATTGAAAGTAACGACGCGAAGAGATCGAAGGAATTAAATACGGGTGGAGGGGACGTCTGGGAATGAAGAAATGAAAGGTAAAAGGACTAGGACGTATGTATGTATGACATTTGAAAATGTCTCTGATGATTGTAACGAGGGAAACGGTTTAAAGCCTCGGTCCAGGAAGGTTAATATGATTGAGGTATAGGGCGGTGTGCTGGCTCATGTGATTGGATGCAGGAAGGTTGATTAAAATTAATTATGAAAGGCCTTGAATGGAAATTAAAGGTGGTATAAAATTATGCATAAGGTTGCGCTTCACTTCCAACAATAACAACAAGCACGAGATCAATCACAGTAATAAGTAAGTGAGGTTTGAGTTAAGAAATACGATTATCTACTCGGACCGCTACCTAGGCATATACAGCATATATATTTATATAACTATCTATATATATACATCAATCCTATTTATAATTATATATATCAATCCTATATATAATTAAATACACCAATCAAGTACAACAACAAACCACGTAGGCAATCATAGATACATATCAGACATCAGACATCAGACTTCAGACTTCAGACTTCAGACTTCAGACTTCAGACTTCAGACTTCAGACGATAGAATGCGAAAGAATATGAATTCAACGTAAAACTTAGAACACAAACAAGGCCTATCTTTCTTCAATCTTCCTTCAATTATCTCGTCGCCTTCCTTCCCCTTTGGCTTACCTCCCATATCTCTTCCCTTTCCTTCAACTCCAACGTATTTACCAAGTTGTATCTTTTCACACTTTGAACTCCATTTGCGCACGCATACTCGTGATGGACGTTCCTCAACAAAACGAATAATCAGATTCACCTTCTCAATTTTGAGCTTCTCTTCTCCGCTTTTATGTGGTAGTAAGTAGTAGCTTCCCAATATACCTAGTACTCTCCTCAAGCAACAACCAACAGTAACCTCCTCCAACCAAACAAACCTCAATACTTTGCCACAAAGCCACCATCACTATGGAGGTTGACAAAGAAAACTGGCAGCGGATTTTGCTCCCAATCTTAAAAGACATTGCCAATGCTACTTTTGTTTCTTTCGATTTGGAAATGAGTGGTATCACTACCCGTCCAAAGCATACATCCCAGGAACGAACTCATGATATTGGAAAACCAAGTCTTCAACAACAATATGAAGAAGTAAAGGAGGCTGCCGAAACTTTCCAAGTTCTTCAACTGGGTATCACTTGTGTTGAGGAAGACCGTGAAAAAGGTTAGTATAATTATTGTTTTCGCCACTCGATCTTGGACGTTAACCATCCTTAGAATATTATCTTGCTAAACCTTACAATATCAACCTCAGTCCACTGTTGCTCTATGATAGAGTCTTTGATCTCGACCGCAAGTTCTCCTTCTCCAGCTCTGCTACCAGTTTCCTTCAATCAAATGGCTTCGACATTGGTGCAGTATTCACCATGGGCGTTCCCTATTTATCGGAGCAAGAAGAAGTCGAGGCTCGTGAACGTTATGATCAGAGGATTGAGAGAAACGCAGCAATTCCTAGCATTGTTTTCGACCCCAGTGATGTTGGAACATTGGAGTTTTATCGGAGGGCTCGGTCGATTATTACTGAATGGATCGAGGCAAAGGAAGTAAGTAATTTTCTGTTTTAGCATCATATATGTGATCACGTTTCAAATTCCAGCCGATAGTCCTACAGAAGATATATTATTTGAATGATCGATGTGGACGTGTGTGTTGTAGCTGTTGACGTATTCATCAAATACCCCCCTTGGTCTTTAAATGCAAGTTCATCATTATCATCTTCACTCTGGAGATGGCATCTTTTGTATAGATGATGCAGAATTATGATAATTTACTATTCCTCAATATTTGCTAACAAATTCTAGCCTAAGATGACCTTTGTCAACGTGGATAATCCCAAAGGTCCTCTCAATGGTTTCCAACGAAGATTAGTCCATCAACTTGTCCGCAGCGAATTTCCACAGTGTAGATGTTTTGCTCGTTTGGATGGATCTTTCATGCAAGTTGAAAAGATTGATCATGATAGAGAAGCAAGGGTATGCTATTCTGATTTCTCCAAACCCCTTATTGCATTTTATACTGAACGGTTCTACGATGTTTTTCGCTTCTTCACTGGAAACTCGATATTCTACCTTACTAATGGTTCATAGTTCAAAATCGAGCAATTGAAGAAATTTAACCAGCGGATCGCCACTCAATCTGGAGCAAGATTCATCTTCGAAGCACTTTGTGGTGGCGACTTGACAGGTATTGATCCAATGTGGTCATATACACATGATGAGAATGGCCAACCTAGCACCATCGATTCTTCACACGCTGCTCTTGAAGCAGAGCTTGCAAAAGTGACTAAGAAACTCAAAGAGAAACAACACGTTATTGTTGGTCATAATCTATTCACCGATCTTTGTTTCCTCTACAAAACATTCATCGGTGATCTTCCGGCCGGAGTGGGAGATTTCCAATCTCAGATTCATTCTTTGTTTCC